AATCGCACGCTGACTCAAATGCGTTCTTTATTCGCCGACCAGCGAATAGGAAGATTACTCTTACTCCTGTGTTCGCTTGGACAGTTTTATGTTACAAATAAAAAAACTCAACATTTTTATTCCCATCATTGAAGATGTCGCGCGCACACACAAGAGAAGTCCGATTGTGTTTCCTTCGCGGAAGAGAAAGCGGAACGAGAAGTATAAATCACTTAGACAACTCAGAGTTTATTTTTTTTTTATTTTTTTTTATTTTTTTTTTTTTACTTCTCGCGGAAGAAAACAATTATTCAGGTTTTGCGGGGAAAAAATTATAGTTCTGAATTGAAATTGAAAAAGTTTGAAAATATATCGCAAACACACTTCGCAATCTCGCATACGTTTGATAAATCTCGTTTGCAGAAAGAAGTGAAAAGCAAGAGAATAAAATAATTGACGAGAATTTTTTTTTTTTTTTTAAATCCGTCGAAGTTTCTCAAACTACCGCGTAGGTAGAAAACATTCAACTTTACACATATCAAACAAATAAGACACGCGCGAGTTTAAACTCGCGCACAACTGTGATTTAAATTTGAAAAAAAAAAAACGAGGAAGAAGAACATAATCGAACAATTATTTTTCTCTGAGATAAAAATAAATAGTTTTCTCGCAGCGAGAAGTTTGCAATTACTTGCAATAAAACTGACGGGATAGGCTTGTTCAACGATTAACGTCGGGGAATTCTATACTTCCGCTCTATTATCGGGGTTTAAGTTCCCGCTTTATTGTCGCGCGCTTGTTACGTTACCGCGCGTAGGCGTGGTGGCGGCGAGGCTTCCACCTGTGTGTGCATTGTATGTATCATTATCCAGATTACTAGTTGCTGCGAATGATAATTTCGCGCACGATAATACGATTTGTGGCGACCGCGAGATCGCCGGAGAGGAAATCCTGTGTGTTGTCGCGTTTCGTCTCTCAACAACAGGATTATCGTACTTGCGAACCGCAAATTGAGTTGAGATAAAGAGCGTGCGTAATCAGAAAATTACGCGGGTAAGAGAAGATAAGAGATCGCTCGTCTTGTGTGTCGTAAGCTTTCGGTTACGTAAAAAAACTCCTTCGCGGCCGACAACGAACTGCGATAGGACTTTTCAAGGACTGCTTTAACCGAGCTTGAACCTGTTTATTTTGGAAGTGACAGGCGAGGTTGTGTTGAAAATTTCGCCAGAACATTGGTTTCTTCGCTTGGTTGTCGCGCGAGCGAGCGACCGTATCTACTTAAATATATATATATATATATATCTCTTTTTCTCTCTCCTTACCTCATTTGATCCGCTCGGTCGCTTTTCGTGCTGAGGATTCATTTATCGTCAGTTTGTTATGTAAACCCACGAAGTATTCACACTTCATCATCGCGATTCACAGTAACTCCTTTGAGAAACGAGGAGAATTCGTGTAATTGGAGAGTTGGTGAGCGCTGTGCGAAGATAATTTAACAATGATCGTCTTTCATCTCCTCGTCACGAAGAGTCTCTGAACGAATTACAATCATCATATTCCTTGGCCTCGCGCGTCGCGTATTAATATATATAAATATTTATTGCTGGAATATGTGTGCCAGGAGACGATCGGTAAATTGATCCGTCATTTAGTATTTTTCCTACGAGAAGTAGTAACGTTTCCCCTCGTACGCAAACCGTTTTCTTTTTTTTTTTTTTTTTCACGCGAATGAGAAATTCGCGTCAGCCGAAAATATCGAAAACCGTTTTTAGGCGGCGTGCATCGTTTTTTTTTTTTCGGAGGGTTTCCTCGATATCCTCACTGTCGCGTACTTCGATTTCTCGTTATTGATGGTCCGGCGCGGAGGGAATACGAATATACGTAACGACACAAAGCAGCCCGCGAAGAACCGGTCATTGCCAAACGACGGCGATTACGGCGTCTTTTCCTTCGCAGCGCTTTCGCATTGTGTCACGAAACGCAATCTGCATCGTCAAGCGAGGAAAGAAAATGAAAAGAACCGATACATTTCGATTCGGTGATTTTAATATCAGTCGCAGCGCTCGGTTTCGATGAATCGAAACGCAACGATCGCGAGCGGCGGAAATCCCCGGAGCTATTTTCTCTTCCTGCTTTTATCTCCTCATTCTTCTCTATCCCTTCCACTTTCTTCTTGAGTGACGTTACGTAATTGAGATCGAATTTTCCGCATGCGAAGAGACGTCGGTTGGGAAAACCGACTAAATTCGTTACCTTCACCTTTCAGCGCGCGGTCTTGTGACGCGTGATATCGATGCGAAAACTATCTCCGTTTCTCCGGGAAATGCAATTTATCGTTTCGCTTTATGGGAAAAAACGCGACGAGAGCTATACACAGAGTAAGCGCTTGACGCACTCTGTCGATGTATCTGATAGAGAGTCTATTCTTGTACCGCGTTTATCGCGAGTTGAACTCCTACACATTATTTCCGTCCGCCTCTCCGTGTTCGCCCTGCACTTTCCTGTTTTTGCATGATAACAGGAATCACTTGTGCGCGCAACGCACAGCGTAGATACGTGGGAGAAGCACGTGTGTCTCATCTCTAAACCTTCTCCGTTGACAATTTCATTCACAGAGTGTTTGCGCCTGCGTTTTCTCTCTCTCTCTCTCTCTCTCTCTGAAAATCACTTAACTTTATGCTTCTTCGTTCACTCTAATACTCGCTAAAAATGTTTAGCGCGTATTACGTGCGCGTACGATACGATATGTTGATGCACGTATATATGTACATGATGTTCACAATATCATCATCCAGAGTAAAATTGTAATAATCCGAGATGATAAACTGTGGCCGCGTGCGTAAATACAATAATCATATCAGCGCGGATATTAAAATACGTGACATAACAAATTGCATAATAGAACGATATGTTCGAGATATTTTACATATACATATATATTTTATATTCGCTACACATGTATATATATTTTTTTACACACGTGCATATCTCGCGAGATTGTAAAAATATTTTCCTCGACTATGCGCAAGCTCGTCATCGACAAAATTCCCGGTAACGCTCGATATAATATACATTCCGTGATTATATTCGGTCGAGACAAATTCTGATTAATTAATTATATTCGTCACAAGACGTCGGTGTATACGCGGCAGGAATTTTCAAATGACATTTGTGTGCGATTGTGTCATCGCTACGGGGAAAAAAAGAAATAAGAGTCGGGAGTATTAATTTGCCGAGTGTGTTTCGTGTGATGTTACGATGACGTATGTACGTCATCGACGCGTCCCGACGGTGTGTCGATCTGATTGGTCGTAGCCGGTGCGTCGGTCTGGCATCTTGCGCGAAGTTCAGATGAAACAACGACGGCAAACGGTGCTAACAGACACGCGCGCGCTGATTGTTAATTCTTCTTATTCAGTTTAATCGAGCGAACAACCGCGATAAGAGTCGCGATGTATCTGACGCAATCGGAAAGAAACAATCGGATCTCTCTCGGCCGGAAATCGCATTATTATTAGATCTGCAGTAGTCGAGTGACTGATGAGTCGTCGGGGAGCTGATGATGTCGACGTGTGTGTATCAGCACTTCGTTCGATATATAATTTTCCTTTATAATGCAGCACATCCATCGATATTCGAATAATATACATCTCGAAAAGCGAGCGAACGGCATGAAAAATATTCAGCAATGATGTTAATCAGCGCGCATATTCGGGTTTATTTCGCGAATGTGTGTTTATTTGTAAGAGACGCCGGAATCAACATACAAGTTCGAGATGAAAGGCGGCGAGGATCTATACATAGAATGCGCATAACGAACGCGGCAAAAATAGAACCTACTTTAAACCTAACTTGGAGAAAATGGAAATTTGTGACACTTTTAGGTTGAAAGTAGGAGCAAATTTTATCCTTGCAATTGAACCTACTTTACTATCGTAACTCCTATATATAGTAGAATGAGAGGTTCATCAGAGAGTCAAAATTTCGACTCGGGTTATTTCTGTAAATGCGGCGCTTTTATTAGCGCGCGGAAAACCGCACGAAATACATATGTAAGTTACTAATTTGTATGCCGTCGCGCCACGGAACGGAATAATTCTAAGTTACGAATGCGCAAATGCGTATCAACGGTATCTCTTCGTGACAATTTACATAAACAAATCATTTGCACAAATTTGTGCGATTTATGCCAGTGTGGTGATTGCTTTTTCCTCTTTCACGATGATGATTTTCCTCGTATTAGCGCAGATTCTGCTTGTTTTCTCTAAACTTATTAAATCTGTTATTCGTGACAAAACGTTCGGGGCGTATATGATGTTCGTTAAATAACTCATTGCTGACGTAGATCCGCGGTTCATTAATTATTCATCGATAAACCCAATCATGTTAATTCGTCTAATCAAAATTTACTGGCAATTTAGCGAAGCAACGAAAGGTCGGTACGTATATCGACGGTAAAAGCGGTTCGGTCAGTCTGAACGTTGAATACGGTTAAAGAATCAGGGAGGATTTCATCGTTTCACACACACACACACACACACACACACTGGTTGTATAGACCGTTCGTTCAGCACACTAAAGAAACATTTCTTTTCAATTTTTTTCTTCCGTATTTTCCGACGCTTATCTCAGAGCAATACGTAAAACTGTGTCATCGCGATCTCCTTCAGAATTTAAGAAGATAAAACTCGTGATGTGAGGAAGAAATAGAGAATTAATATTATATGTATATATCTGTAAGTTCTTTTTCATATATCCACATTCACACATCGGACAATAATAAATTAAAAGCGCATCTCTTTTAGATTCATTCTTTATTCGGTGAATAACAATAAACATTATATGTATTTCCTCTTTGTTACGGAAATCTGTATTTCATCATCTCGACAAAA